ACGCCTACAACATGCAAGTAGCATCTGAAGGCTACCGCATCGAGGTTCTACGCTGTGACAAAGGGGGAGAGAACACTGGGGAAGAAATGCGCAACTACTGTAGGGAGTCTGCGATCAAGCTGGAATTCGCCGCGACCAACACGCCCCAAGAAATCGGAGTGTCAGAAAGGGATGGCCAGACACTTGCGGCTGTGACTCGAGCTCTACTGCGCGATGGAGACTTCCCAAAACACATGTGGGGGGAGCTCATGATGACTGCAGCATACCTGACCAACAGGACCCCACACGCGGCGCTAGGGGGAGCCACGCCGTATTCCAAGATGTACAACACAACCCCGGACCTTTCTCGACTTCGTGCCATCGGCGCCCGCGCGTTCGTTCATCACGAGCGATACAAGAAGAAGCTAGACGATCGGGCCTTTGAAGGCAAGCTCTGCGGTTACGGACCTGGCAGCAAGACGTACCGGATCTACGTGGAGGGCAAAGACAAGGTCTACGAGAGCCGGAACGTGACTTTCATCGAGACTCCACCCAACACCATCCCCCCTCACCGGTGGGACGACCGTCTCGGATATGAACAGGACGTGATGAACTTCACGTCATTGCTCGGACGCCGTACCTCTACGGGCGACGAAGACAACAAAGTGGACTACGGAACACAATCAGAGCTCCTGCTGCACGAGATGCGCAACATGCAGCAAGACAACATCAGCCGAGCAGAACTTCGCCAAAACAACGCGGGCATGGATTCCGACAACTACTTTGCTGCTGGGGAAGCTGACAGCAACAACAACCCGCGGACTACGACACCATCCAGGACATCGCAGGACACGACACTCGAATCACCCACGACGCCAACAGACACGGACTCTGCTTCGCCAGCCCCCATCCCAATGCGTCGATTAACGGTGACCCGTCCTGCCACGCGCACTCACCAACCCACAGATGACCCTATCGACCCTTCATGCATCCCGAAATCTCTGGAAGTGAACATGAACGACAGGGGCCGCTCTGCCATGGCTGTCAGCCACCCCGACCCACTGGAGCTCACCGAGGATCAACTACTCGATCTCACCCACCAAGCGCAGCAACGATGCCCTACTGACGCGGCGGATTTTGCTCACCTGGATGAAGACCCCTTCGCCGAAGTCCGGGCGTATGCTTACGCCACGGGCACCTCGAGCAAAGGGTTCTTGGGGGAGACAAACCAAGAGATCAAAACTCCGAGCACGTACACCGAAGCCATGAACTCACCACAACGCGAGCAGTGGAAGAGCGCTATCGACACCGAGATGGGTAATCTCGCCAAGCACAAAGTCTTTAAGAAAGTACGCATCAGCCTGGTACCGAAGGATGAGGACATCTTCGACACACGCTTCGTGTTCAAGATCAAGGCCGACAGCCGCTTCAAGGCCCGCTTAGTCGCGGGGGGACACCGCCAACGAGCAGGACGACACTTCGGAAGGAACTACGCTCCAGTAACCCGATTGGGTAGCATCCGCATGCTATTCGCCATCGCTTGCGAACACGGATGGGAGGTGTACCAATTGGACGTGGTAGCTGCATTCCTGAACGCGTACACCGACAGAGACGTCTACGTCAGGCCGGCGCCAGGCGACGAGGAGAGGGACCCTACGACAGGTGAAATGATGGTCTACAAACTGGAGAAAAGTCTGTACGGCCTGTCACAGTCCCCGTCACTGTGGAACGACGCCATCAATGACAGACTCATCATCTTCGGCTGGCAGCGCACTCACTCTGACCCCTGTGTCTACATCTTCGTAAGCGGGGACGAACTCACAATCCTCGCGATCTACGTCGATGACATCCTCATCACGGGCGGAAACAAGGAGATCGTAAGCAGGAAAAAGAAGGAACTCATGGACAGCTTCGAAATGACAGACATGGGAGAGGTCAAGCGCGTAATCGGCATCGAAGTGCAGCGGGACTACGAACATGGCACACTAGCCATATCGCAAGGACCCTACGCGAGAGATATCCTACAGCGATACGGAATGGAACAGGCAAACCCGGTCAGCACCCCCGGGTATGGAGCAGAACTATCAACCGAGCAGCCACAAGACCAACTACTCGGACCCGAGGACAAGCAGAGATTCCAGGCCATCACCGGGAGTCTCCTGTACCTTGCCCAATGCACCCGCTACGATCTGTCATACGCAGTGCACCAACTGACACGGGCATGCGCAAACCCAGCACAGGTCCACATGGCTGCGGCCAAGCACCTACTACGGTACCTACGCGGAACGCCAGACCTGCCGATCGTGTACAAGAAGGGGCAGTTCAGACTCTCGTGCTTCACTGACTCGTCATTTGGAGCCAACCCAGACAACGGCAGGTCTACCACCGGATACCTGTTCTTCCTAGGAGGGGGACTGATCAGCTACGGAGCCAAGGCACAGACTCTCGCAGCACAGAACACCGTGGAGGCCGAGCTTCAAGCGCTGAGCTTCAGTGCTCGCGAGGCAGTCTACATCTCCAACTTCATGACAGAAATCGGATTCAAGACCTTTCGATCGGTACCCATCAACAGCGACAGCACCGGAGCATTGACTGTGGCCAGCAACGCGATGTTCAGCTCTAGAACCAAGCACATCGCGCTCCGGTTCTTCTTCCTCAGGGAACTCACGAAGGGGCACCGGATCACTCTTCACCACCAACCTAGTGCCACGATGTTGGCGGACATCGCGACGAAACATCTCCCGAAGCAGCGATTCGCCACCATCATGCAACTCATCAAGGACTACAAGTGCTAGAACATATTAAGCACAAGATCGCATATGGTTGAATGTTTTGGACGCGTGTATTGCTCACAGGATGGATTCAGTCATGTGGAGGTCGATATTCTTTGATATGGATTGGGAATCGAGGGGTCGCAAGAATGGCAGCGAAGTGAAGGTTGTTTGGAACATCGGCTACTTGCCTAATCGAGGGGTCGTGTCGAGGAAAACTGTTACAACGTAGTCAGGCACAGTTTACCATAGGTGCGACTGCGGCAACTAGCCTTCCGTAGACATAATACAGAAAGAAGAGATGGTACTCAGCAGAGAACATGAGCACAGAGTTGTAGCGGAGATAATTTGGCAGGCGAGACTGTAGTTGTTTTATTGTTCCGAACCCCGAAATTCCGGTACTCGGGCCATTACTCCGGAGACCCTCGGAACCTGCTGTGTTTTTGCTGCTTGTTTTTTGTTTTTGTTTTGTTGTTGAGATGAGACACAAGCGCGCCTTCGCCCCTTGTGCTCACTCTCATCTAGCACCCATCAAAGCCTGACCAGGGAGTCAGTTGATAAGAAAATCTATCTACATTTCTCTTTCCAGAGCTCGCTCGGGCCTACCGATCTCACAGCAGTGTAGACCAACCTCTGTGATAGAGCGGTGACAGCAGTGTAACCTCTGTGGTAGACTACAAAGTCTACGAGCTACAGCAGCACCGCCACCTCCGCTGCTGCAGGACGCCACATTCTGTGATGTGAATATCATCTGGATCAAAATATATCATTCTCTATGGGTGCGACCTCTTGCCTACACCCTCTTTCTCTCTCTTGATCGTGCCTATCGATACATGTGCCTACTGTACATACGTATTTGCTCGTAGTCTGTAGTACGGAGTTTGGGAAGATCAACTTGTGGTCTTGGATTTTTTTTCATTCCGAGTGCTGACGTCTGATGGATCTTCAGGCAGATGTGAATTTGGTCATTCGCTTTTACGAATCGCCCCCAAAGACCGCAGAAAAAGTCCAATTTCATCTTTTCTCATTGTGATCGTTTCTGGAACAGCAGCAGGTGCTCGTTGGCCGAGCGCCCCGGAAGATGCCCCGTGGGCGTTTTGCGGACTGCAAACAACAGAGAGAACCTCCCTTCTGTGTGCGCCATAGGAGCCCAAACACGTGGCACAAAGCAGCAAACCGGAGGAGCGCGCGGACGTTGAAGAAAGGTACACACATGGTGCTCGTTGGCACATTACCCCTCACACTACGAACCTTTCTTTTAGTTGACTATCTTGAATCACAAGCAACACACACCGCTTGGAACGGGGAAAAGGCTCACGCGTTGCGCACGCCAGGCAAACAACAGATGTCGAAGAAAATGGCTCAGAGGAGGGGTGTACAATAGCCAAAAGGTTCCGTAGCGATCGGCGATTGAGACGCTGTGAACTGAGAGAGAGGGAGCGTGATGTGTAGCGCGTGCTTAGGTATCACATGAGCCAGCAAGGTGTACAATTGTCTACATTCAACAGCAGTGCTGCACCTCTTTTCGCACTACTACTTCGGCGCGATACGGTAGGGTCAACAATATAGCAAGCGTGCAATGGAGATCTTCAGCTCTATGTCTCACTGTTAAAGGAGGTTCGTTTGACATCGTGGTGTGGTATGTAGCAGAGCTGCGTGGGAGCGACACGGGAGTTCCTCGGTGTATGTGTGTGTGGACGTGAGGAGACAAATAAAGAGCAAACGGTCACCACTTGCGTGAAGTCGGGAGCAGGGAGAGGTCTGGGTTTCGATCTTGCTCCCGACTTCCAAGACCAAAACCAAAGACCTGTATGCAAACACCCTGCTGTTGGTTATTGGTTGATGGAAACTGCTCCTCAGAGGGGCTTCCGTCTTTTCACCTACTGCTGTTTATAAAACAGCAGTATTCATACATGCGAAAATTCAATTGTTTCGTTCGCTGGTGGACACCCTTGATCCCTTGATCCCTTGTTAGACTGTGTGCGGCAGTGTGAGATAGACTATAAGATTGATCGATATTCCAGGTGGGCAAGCATCACCCAAGTGACGCAAAAGGCCCCACGCACCCAGTGGTATGCGTACCATGCTCGACAGCTATGGCAGGATAAAAGTGCGAGTGAGAACTGTCAGCGTTGCGAGCGCAGTCGTGGTACACCCGGTCAAGACCATCACGCCGCTGGAACCATGTAACTCCCGGTTTCAGCGACACGTCGGGACAAAGCTCGGGACTTCGGTGGCACTACATCACGGGTGTGGCATTCTAATTTATTGGAATCTTCGGTCGAGTTGATGAGCCCACCAGCAGTGGTCCGGGAGTAGGCAAGTTCGGGGGTGTGGCCGTGGTGTCTGTGACTGCTGGCTATCGCTACTGCCCTGCTGCTTTGGATGGTGATGGACGACGAACAAGGCAAGTTATTTTCTTCTTCCATCGCAGAAACCGCAGGAGACCAAAGGCAAGAACAGCAGTGTTGATGTTATCGGATGCATCCCTACGATAGACCAGATATGTGCTCTGTGGTGACCCGGACACGGCTGCTTCAATGTCGACGAAAACGGGCCCCGCTGAACTTCTTGTTCGTTGATCAGCAGTGGAAGTCGCAGTTTCGTTTGGTGCGTTGCAAAGGCCAACATTGTCTGATGCAGCTCGACTTGCCGAAATACCACGCAGCAGAGGTACAGACAGCAGTAGCGCGTCTCCTCCGAAGTGGACATGCTGGAGCCAGAAAAGAGACAAATCGCGCCCTCGTGTGATCTATCCAATCTCAATTCAATAATACGGTTCAATACTCTCGTTCGCTGTGTCTTATCACACGGTTGTCCGATCCGTGACGAATCTCGGAACCCCGTACATGTACGGGGCAACTGTAGTCCCTGGATTTCCATCCCAAAACTCAAAAGTAGCCGGAAATAGACATTGCTGGCTAACAGAATTGGCGGGCCGTCTTCCGACAGACATTGTTGGCTGCCATAGACATACCTATGCATGTCTTATCGACAATAAAATATTTCGCAGGCCGTCGCCCGATACAGCAGTCGTAGACATTCGGGGAGTTTGAACCAAGAGGAAACTTCTAGATTCAGGATGAAGGGTCCAGTTCTGAACCATAGGTGGACTTCAAGATTTAGGATGAAGGATCCAGTTCTGGGAACGTTACTCGAAGATGAAGCTCCTGAATCTCGAAAGCAGCTTTAAGATTTAGGAAAATAGAGTCTTCGCGCCGCTTTTCCCTACATCAATCAAAAGTGCTTTCAGGAGACGAAATACATGTAGGAGGCAATGTGCGACCCACCACCACAAAAACAGCAGCTTTAGTAGCCAAACTCCAGGCACCACGGAAGGTGCTGTTGAGTGGACTCCATCGCTGCCAACGAAGGGCAGACCTATGCATCTATCTGGTGGTTGCTCTGCGTGTTGGAGGTACGGTAGGTGTGTGGAACAGCAAGCGTACGCGCGTGTGCTTGACCATCTGTTTGTTGTTGCTGCTGGGTTGGTTGTTGCTGGGCGAAAGAAAAAACACCAGGCGGAGAAAGAGGATGATCAAACCTGTCTACACACAAATTGAATCCACAGCAAGCAGCGGGGTTTTTTTCCGCTCTCATGAGCTCTACCATCACAGGGTGTGCGTCCTTTCCTGTTGGTTGCTGCTGCTGACGCTCTCTCTCTCTCTCTCTCTCTCTCTCTCTCTCTCTCTCGCTCGCTCTGTCTTTCGTTCGCACACAGCACAAGGAAAGAGAGATTAGGCTCCTTGATCACCCTCTTCACAGATTGAGCTGGTGCAGCCCCTCAAGTTCTTGAGTGGTCTGTGTCCTTATCCTCACAAACAACCTGCTTTGAAGTGCTACTGGCGCCGAATGCGGAGCACACCGCCGTTTCTGGAAACGTAGGATCTGATGCTTCGATACAGCAGCTGTGCCTTTTCCCTTTCTTCCGCCTTGGCCGCCCTGTTTTTTTTTGCGCGTTCAACTCCGTGGTTTTCACAAGTATAAAATTCCCTGAACGTTCGTTCTCCCTAAATCTAGAATTTGGCGTTTGTGTCGCGGAACTCTGTATTCTTGGCAGCAGTATTTTAACCACCCACGTTTTTCCGATACAGTGTTGGCAACAACACGTTTCAGGTGCTTTTTCTGCTCTTTGTTGGTAGTAGTTGTAGAAGAAGGAGCCTTTGAGACAAGTCGTCGTGCAAGTGGAAAACCGAACAACGTTGAAGATATATTGCCGTACCATTGTTGGCATTATCGATCGTTTTTGGTTTGAAAATCTGTTGCTATCAACATTTTTTTTAATTTATTGCAGTAAACGACGCATATTGGTGACACTTTCAAAAACCCATGGCCTTTTGAGACAAGGGACACTGACAAAACGATTGATGTTTTTTGAAGCCTCCGCAAATCTGTTGCGGTTGACAATGGATGTCACAAGAACCTTTCAAACTATTTTACCTCTGATAAGGGATATGGATATTTTCTCTCGTGGTCTTTGTAACAAGAAACCATTGTTCCTCTATTGTCCCAATGTGAAAATATGAAAAAGGTAGCCGTCGCCCGGCCCATGCTGCTGCTGACGTTGTCACAAAACTAGAGAACGGAGCTGCACACTACGATAGAAAGGCTATGGCCCGACTGGTTCGGTTTGCAACTTCGTGTACTTGAATTCGAATTTCTGCGCAGTCACACACACACCCTGTTTTTTTTTTTCAACCCAGTAGTCTATGCGCACTGTGCTTGCGGTCTTCAATCGGAACAAAAGACTCACGGAAATAACCTGAAGAATACACGGAACTCTAGAACACACGGCCGTTTCTTCCACACCCAACACCAAGGATACCACACTGACTTGTTCACACGGCCTGCTATTCTTCTACCACCTGGGGCCAACATCATATATACGACCATTCCGAAATAAGTAGCGTGTCGGAGGCCTTGTTGCTCAACTGCTGCGTGTTCCCGTGAGATAGTGTCCCTCTCTCCGACCAAAATGAGGCCATGTCCCAACGCCTTGATGTAACTGGCTATTGGGCATGTGGTACACGTGGTCCTTCACACTCTTCTGAGCAGCACTCGAGCCCCAAATGCCCACGGACCAGCACAGCACCGGGCGTGAGTATCTCATAGACAGCCCAACCGTAAGGATCAACACGTTGGAGGTCAGGGCGTTGCTGCTCTACTCATCCTACTACTTCCGTGTTGGTCATGCGTGATAGATCAATGTACATCATATCAACAGCAGTCGAAGAGGACGACATGCAACAGTCTTGGTGCGGACAAACAACGGACTGAACGCAGCTTCAGCCACTGGTCTACAGTATCTTCGCAATAGGCCTGAGCATCTTGCAGATCTTGCTAGCGTTCTCAGTGGTGCTACAACGCCTGCAGTGCGTCTGCCCGACCCTTCTGTCACACCTCCAGATAGGCGAAAGCAGCAGGGGCAAAAGAAAAGACCTTTCACGTGAACGGAAAGAAAAGAAGTCCGTCCGTATATCCACACGAATAACTGGAGACGTTATTTTCCCCGTGTTGTTGGGATCGATATGAAAGCCCCTTTGCGGAGTTCATGGAGCAGCAAGCGGACTCTTCAACAATGTGAAGTGGGAGGTGCCACAGGCACTCCAATTGTACCATCATGGGGAAAACGAAACATTTCCACGTGTGAACACCGCGGTACCCATTATTGATTCGACGCTGTGCTCGGGCCTCTTGGAGAATGTACTCGCCCGATAGCCCCATTCCGAATCACTTCGAGGTTGGGGGTAAACCGAGCTGAACATATGCCCCCAATTGAATCTGGCATGGAGTAAACTCGCATTATCCCGTTTCCCTCCTGGAGCGATACATTAATCATTACCGATCACGAGGAAACCTTTACTTCTTGCAACTTCATCTTCCAAGAAACCAACAGCGGTGACCTCGCTAGCAGGAAGGAGCGTTTCATTACTTTCCACGTTTTGAAACTCCTCGGTACTGTTTCTGAAACTTCACCTGCACATCCACCTCTGCGCTTGCATGGCGTTTCTCTCAGGTTCCAAACTACGTCAGGACGCCCTCGACATAGCCCTCAACCAGGTATCCGGCGTGAATGGATGGTATACTTCGAAGCTACAACTCCAGCTCGCGTCATTACAGCTGTGTCTAGCGTGCCGAAGAGTGCCCACATCCCACCTGACGGTAGAGAGGGACGTGCTCGCCCTTCTGTGGCCGCATAGCGCGGCGGAAGCGACTCGTAGCAGACTGGTGAGCCTGGGACAATCCCGCGTGCCAGCCCTTCGACCGCGCAAGGTTACGTGGAACCTAGCGACGCTGTCGATGAGGCACTGTGGGGATGCTTTCGAGAGCGTGGACGTCTTAGTTTTCGGTGACTCGTTCGACTACAGGGTGGACCGAGTGACGTGGCCACCGGGGCTCAAGAAGCTAATTTTCGGGAAGGATTTCGATCGCTCGGTTGACCGCGTAGCTTGGCCGAGGTCCCTGAAACAGCTCACCTTTGGGACAGGGTTCAACAAGCCGATTGGCAGTGTTTCCTGCTCCGATTCGCTCCAGCAGATTGCGTTTGGAACCTGCTTCAACCAGCCGGTCGAAGACGTAACATGGCCGGCGTCGCTGCAGGAGCTTACCTTCGGGAGAGAGTTCAACCAACCCCTTCAAGGGGTAACGTGGAGCGCGTCACTTCAGAAACTGACTTTTGGGAGGTACTTCAACCAGCCCATCGACAGGGTCATGTTTCCGGCATCGCTGCGACAGATCACGTTCGGGTTCAGCTTCGACCAGCCAATTTCTGACGTCCTGTGGCCGGTGTCTCTGAAACGGCTGGTATTCGGGTACTGGTTCAACCAGGAGGTCCACGAAGTGTCATGGCCAGCGTCTCTGGAAGAGCTTTCTTTTGGGATAAAGTTTCAAGCGCCGGTCGATGGCATCGATTGGCCGGATTCATTGCAGCGACTGACGATTGCGCACCGTCCAAGCATGCCTCTGCAAATGTAGTCTAGAGTACAAATGCCGGTACGCCTACCAGGTTGGTAGGTGTTGTACTTATTATGTTTGTTTTCAGGTTTAGGACACCACGTGGAATTTTATTTAGTTCCACGGATGGCAGGCCCGCCTTCATTATTCTGATTATAGAAAAAACACAGGCTGAGGCGTGTTTCAAACCCACGGAGGGATGTACCAAAGTTGTACGCAAGCACATTGAACCAGTCGAACTTACGTAATGTGTACTGAGTCAAATATGCCCAATTTTTGTTTACCTGAATCAGCACACCGGACGAACAAGCACAGAGAGAAAGAGCACATAGAGAGAGCGAAAGAGGGAGAGAGAGAGCAGAAGCAGCCTTGGTTGCTGCGCACTGAGCTTTGTTTCTTTGTCCGTTGAACGCGTGTATGAGTGGGCTCGGGCTGCGGCACACACATGTCTTTTTCGTCACTTCGTTGTTCGTCGTCTCTCTGCCTGCGTGCGGGAGTCTCTCTGCCTGCCCTCAAGGGAAGTTGGCGTCAAATATTATCAATCCATACAAGTCAATAAGCACTAACATCGAGCACGCGATATTGTATGCATAGGGCACGCGATATTATATGTTTCATGTACCGGGCTGCGCCTGTTTTGCTTGTCGAAGGCATGCGATCATCACGGTGGGCCGTGGCATATCCTTCAGGTTGTAATGCAGTCTACACTATGCTGTCTATTGCAGTGTCAAAAGGAGTCCGTCTATTAGAGTTTTTAAGAGGAAACTGGTCGAGTCGGAAAGGAAAGAACGGGAGGTGGCCCGGTTGAGCCTTGGTGAGGAGTGTTGGAGTAGGTCTGCAGGTTTTGACTTCGGTCTTCTCCCTGGCCCTTGCGTGGCAGGCTGCTCAGTCTCAAGCGTGTGTATGCGTTGGGGGGAACCTCGCATGTGTTGGAAGATATTTTGACACAGAGGCAGCCCGTTGAGAACAAGGATCCCAAAAAACCAGGCTCCGAGTTTTGAAACAACCAGAAAATTAAAATTGTGAAATTCATTGACCTCAGCAACCGGCCCTAACCTGGGTCCTGCTACAGGCTCAATCACAATACTGAGAACTGATAAGTAGGCTTCTCCCGATCGATTCCTGGGCTGCATGATATCATGACGCAAACATATTTCATCACCTTCTGCCTTGGACTATGTATCTTGATATCACGTACACAGATGGATGCATCGAATGCCTCTGTTGCGCGCTATGCGGAGCTCTTCTTGTTGGAAATTCCCCCAACGCAGATTGGGGTTTCTATTCGGGCTACAAATCGGGTATAGATTCTTGTGACAGAAAGTTGGCACAGAGATCCTTTGACAAAGACTGAGACTGGCTTCTCGGCGATCACTAAATCTCGGGCCTCTAGAGATTGCTACGATTGTTTGTCGCGGTACTTGAAAGAAAAACTCTGTCGGGGAAGCAGACGTGGCACATGGCAACGTATTTGGACCATTGCAAGAGTATTTCATAAGACCATCTTTGTGTGAGGATCCTGGTGTCGTTATCTTCAGCATCGGCGGCGCTAACCGGTAGCTTGTACCCTCCCGCTAGGTGTCGATCGACCAAATACAATCGTTTCCAAAAGTGGTGACTCCATTGTACACGCCTCTGAGCTCCCCAGTACGTCTAGCGCGACTGAATAGCCGGACATCTCCACTAGCACGATGGTGCAGCGTTCGAGCGTAAGTCCAACCACTTTTGAACGTTTTCGTTCCGGACCCACACCATCCCTCCTCTCCCATCCGTGACACGCTTCATTTTTTCTCTGTCTACGAAGCCATCATCATCCCTGGCATGGTCGCGCCTGCTGAGTCTCTCCTTGTCCATGAAATTGTTCAGCGCTTCATAGGAGGCCCTTGTCTCCGTTTGCATGTAGGCGCCAATATCCTCGTCGCCTGATAAGCCACGAAGGAGGGCGTCCTCGTCGAGGGTACGGTCGACTAGCTCATCGACCAACCCTTTCACGTCCTTCAGGAAATCCGAGAGATCAACGTCCAGTCCTAATGTTGCCTTAGCGCTACCTTGCTTGGTCGTGAAGACGGCCACCTTGGAAGGGATCATGTCCACAAACTAACTAATATTATTGCTCATGCCTCAATGCACTGCTACATGAAACTAGCCGATCTCGATACTCAACAGTTGTGTTGCACGGAGAAAATTCACATGTTGGCGTGACATCTCGGCCTTGACGGAGGAGCAGCCACAGGCAGAACACCCGACCTACCACACGTGCTTCGGGTCTATATATTCAAGCTGTTGATCGCACCTGCAGCACAGGCGATATTGTCTTGACCCAGCCTCGCGTCTCCTGGAACCGAGAGCCTTCGCCGCCGTAGCCGCACGGCACCTTGCTCATGTCGACACGGCACAAGAAGTGCAGCGACATGTCCTTCGTGCATTCCCCGCAAAGTGCGCTCAGCAGGCTCTTTTTCCGGCGAGTCTTGGATGACGTGCCGCAAGATGCGATTTTCTCAACGGCCACAAGGCGAGAATACTTGCAATTCGGAGCGTGCAAGTTCTTGAGGCTCATGAGGCTTTCCTGCGTGCTCGCAACACCCTGTCCAGCTTTCCGTTCACATCGTCAATCCCGCCCTGAACCCCCTCCGAGGTTACCGCGATGCTGTCAATCTTGTGAACCAACACCCCCTCGGCAGTGGAGTTCGTCTGTGACAACTACGACGTTGGACCATGGAAGATACGCGATGTCAGCCAAAGCTGCGACTACTGTTTGGTCCAACATGTCGACAACGAAGAGAACCATGCTTTTAGCTCAAAGGTGTAGACAAAACACGAGCCTGGCAGGGCCGTGGTCGTAATACTGCTGTGGACAGGTCAGGTAGGCATCTGTCCCAGCAACGCCCATACCAAAAAATAAGTGCTGCGCCATGCATCGCATTACTATTGATTCTAGTCTATTTCGCTCTCATGCTACCGAAAATGGCCGTGTCGTCTACGGTGTCGACAATGTGGACAGCAGTAGACACAATGGCGAAAAATAACGCGTACACGAGCGCCGTCCCAACCGTATTTTGTAATTTTTTTTTGCTGCACCGTGATCCAAACACACGAGAGACGGTCATGTAATCATCCCCCGCCCCATCTGCATAGATAGATATATTTTGCCATCGACATCCACGCAATTTCAGGTCCACAGCTCGTTGAATCACCTGCACCTCAATTCCGCCCTTCTCCTACCGCGCCGTGCAGATTGAGCAAACTCGCGGTGGTGTCACAGAGCATGTGTCCGGTATCAACTTCCCACCTCCGGCCCCGGAGCGGCGCCTACCGTGCCCTCACTGTCCCATGACCTTCGTGAACGAGCAAGGACTTGGGATCCACGTGAAAACACAGCACAGCAATGCAAACATGTCCAACGGCTTGCGGCTGCAGCGGATGCTAGAGAAGACTCCCAAAGGGTATGTTCAGCCGTGGGAAGAAGCCGGGCCTGGACGTTGTTGGCACGTGAAGGTCGATGGTGGGACGGGGGCGGCTTCGTTCGCCCTCCAACGGAAGCGCTTCCGCGATCTCGACTTGGAAAGCGACGGCTTTAGGGACCGCAAAGTCAACGAGACTCGTGGAGCTATGAAGCGCAAGCGATACGATTCAGGTTCAAAGCCCATGTTGTGACCCAGCTGCGCCTCCTCCAGGAAGACGCCGCAGACCTCTTCAAGGAGGAGCAGCTCACGCCTCTCCAGTACTTAGAGGACCGTCTCAAGGTTAACTACAGCCTGATCGTGAAGTGGGCTCAGGACGAGGCCAATATAGTCCAATCGGCAGCAGATGACGTGAAGAAGACCCTCCTTGCCAAACAGCAGCCAAAGCGGTGGTTTCCTGAGGAAGAGAAGAAGCTGTACAATATGTTCTTGGCGCGGCGGAGGAGGAAGCTGAAGGTGTCGACCCTGTGGCTGACGGTCACGTTCCGGAAGCTCGTGCAAGAGAATCACCCTGAGGACCAACGGGCGGCGGCGTTCAGCGCGTCCTTCAGGTGGGCACGAAAATGGGCAAAGAGGCATAAGCTGTCCAAACGGCGCAGGAGCAACCTCAAGAACAAGTCTGTTGAAGAGCGCCTACCAAAGATCCAGCGCTTCCACCGGCGGTTTCGCAAGCTCCTGCAAGAGCCGGTACGGTACAGGGCACCCGAGGCATCGGACGTGTCGGCGATGTCGACGG